GAAGAACCTCAACCCCTCGATCCCGTGCCCGTACATCATGAGCTCCGACACCACTAGTCTATCCGGGCACAGGAGAGCGGGATGATGTAACCCAAATCTGAAAGTTCAGGGGGGTATGTATACTTCTTTCAATTTTTAACCATGACAAATTGAACATTGTTCATAACAAATTATGTTTTGCGAGGATGACAACTTTCTTTAGCAAGCATGATAAATTCCGGCAAAGAACTGAACATGCCAAGGATTTTCCATGCTTCCTAAAGAAAATCGACATCATCGGCAACGTAATTTGCCATAAAAAATCGTTTGATTTGCTATGCTAAAAAATCCGATGTTAGCGGAATCATATTTATATTTTTCGATACTAATATTACTCTCGGAAGGCAAAATGCAGTACGCTGGTGGTCGACGGAATAAAGATAAAGCAGAATCTAGCCACAAAAAAGCATAAAGGAAAAGTAAAGTAATGAACCGATCAAGCAAGCAAACAAAAATGTTTGTTTCCTCCTCGGCCCTCTCAATCCATCCTTGATCGCGACCTCCAGAAAATCACTCACCCATGGCGCAGACGACAAACGCATCCCAGCCAAGTGCCCGCCACGGCCCTTTATCCCCACCCAGCCACACACATCTACCCATCGCGTCCATTTCCCACACTCCATCTCTCCAAATCGACCTCCCACGCACGCGCGCGCGCGCCTCCCCTGACCCCGCAGAGCTCCCCAGCCCAACCCGCCGCAGCAGCGGCACGCGAGCGATCGGCCGCCATGAGCGGCGGCGGCGCCGGCGACACGCTGGACAAGCTGGTGGTGTTCCTGGCGAAGCGCGACGGCGTCGACAAGCTGGTGAAGACGTACCAGTACGTGGCGAAGCTGGCGCACTGGGCGGCGGAGACGTCGCACCCGGGGCTGGCGGGGCGCGCCAAGAGCTGGGAGACGGCGGCCGGGCTGAGCCGCAAGGTGTTCCGGTCGGGCCGGTCACTGACGGGCTTCAACGCGCTGCGGCGGTCCCCGGGGGAGTTCGGCGCGCTGGCCGTGCTGGCCAACGCCGGCGAGATGGTCTACTTCTTCTTCGACCACTTCACGTGGCTGTCGCGCGTGGGCGTGCTGGAGCCCTGGCTGGCGCGCCGCGCGAGCTTCGTGTCGGCGTTCGGCGAGTGCGTCGGCTACGTCTTCTTCATCGCCATGGACTTCATCATGATCAGGCGCGGGATCAGGCGGGAGAGGGCGCTGCTGCGCGGCGGCGAGGGGAAGGAGGAGGAGAGGGAGGGCGAGGTGCGGAGGATCCGGGCGGACCGGGTGATGCGGCTCATGGGGACGGCGGCCAACCTGGCGGACCTGGTCATCGCCGTCGCGGACATCGAGCCCAACCCGTTCTGCAACCACGCCGTCACGCTGGGGATCAGCGGCCTCGTCTCCGCCTGGGCTGGGTGGTATAGGAACTGGCCGTCGTGAGCTGAACTGGGTCGGATCGGATAGGCATTTCGACCGGCAAGATGTATGTAAAAAATGTACGCTTACCGCGTTAATTATTTTCAACTATTACGAGACTGTATATGGCAGAGTTCTGGCAACACACTTACAACCTCCTTCAGAATAGACTACCCTAAGTGCATAACAGTCTTACTACATACAGTATAGCTTGCTGACCCAAAGCAAATGGGGAAGAAGGTGCGGGCTCAAGTTTAGTTAGAGCACCTAATCTACGGGTGCAACGCCCGGTCAATAATTACTTCCTTTTGGATTCTTTTCGAGATATGTTACCACATACTGTATCACATATGCCATGCGGTCGATAATTACTTGGGCGGATAATGTTTTCCCCCAAACATCAACTAGCTAGCGGTGACCAAGCCGAATCACCCGAAATGCCGAGGCGTCGTCGTTTCTAGGCCAGGGCGGGGCTCAGCTGGTGAGCGCCGAGAGCACGCCACCACCGCTCTTGGAGGCCATCACGACCTCCCAGCCAGGCCCTTTCAGGGGGATAAGAGGGGGGGCATCGGCGGCGGCAGGCGGCCCGGTGAGGTCGCTCCGGTCCATCACCTTCAAAAGGTCCTCGTCGCTGATGTCGGTCTGGATCATCCTGTCTTCCTCGTCCCGCTCGTCCCTCAGCAGCGCAAGCAGCTCCTCCTCCTGTATTTTCCAACAAAGTAGCAGAACAAATCAGTGATCATTCCCAGTTGCTTCGCTTTTGTTGTTACTCCCTCCGTCCCATAATGTAAGATGGTTTTTGACACTATACTAGTGTTAAAAAAGTGTCAAAAAACATCTTACATTATGGGACGGAGGGAGTACTTCTTTTGGTGTTCCATTTCTGAATATACTCCCTCCGTTCGGAAATACTTGTCATTCAAATGGATGTATCTAGATGTATTTTAGTTTTAGATACATCCATTTTCATTCATTTTGATGACAAGTAATTTCGGACGGAGGGAGTACAATTTATGCAGTAGACTAAAACACAATCTATACTCGAGATGGAAATCTTTACATCTAAGACGTTAGGCTTCGCGCTATTTTGTTCAAACTGTCCCTTCCCGATCACAACGTGCTCTAGCTTCAGCTTTCCAAAAGCTCTCTTGATAATCCGTCCCTGCGACAATGAGTAGGTGAGCAGCGATGCCACGAAATACAGCCTAGCAAGAGTCTGAAGGTCATCCATCCATACCTCAACAGAGTTGGATGTTGCCAACCGATAAACATGCACTGGGCGCGTTTGACCAATCCGGTGGCATCGATCCATGGCCTGCAAATCCATCTGAGGATTCTGCAGAATGAAGCAAATCTTCAGCGTATCACAGCTATGAAAGGTAACTGAAAGGCGGGCATTTTCAGTTTTTCACCAAGGAGCACAGCTACAAACAAAACATCCCGTACGGAAAAAATGAATATCCAAAGAGGGAGATGGCATGTGCAGGGAGAGTGTAAACTTTAACGACCGTTACTTTTGTATGCATACCTATATCGAATATTACACTACAAACTCTCGAGATAGATAGGAAATTACCCAGTCACTGTCATACAGGATACATGTATCAGCAGAAGCAAGATTGATGCCAAGCCCACCGGCACGAGTGCTCAGAATAAAGACATTCATACTGCTGTTCAAGTCATTAAACTCTGCTATCTGCCACAGAAAAAACAGTACAAATAAAAGCCATAGACAGCCATTGAATAATCAGAGAAAGATTGGCATGTAACAATAAGATCAATATAAGGAACATTTATGGATTAGACCACTGGTTCTCCAATAACAAACAGTCATGTGCATTCAAGCCCAGTGTCCATAAACCATTGAACCGTCAGTTTGCTGTCCCCACCAGTTTGTATTCTAACCAGCTTGTAGTGAAATATTCAACTCCATCCAGTTTTGGTAATGATTAGCTGCCGGTTAAGTGAGTCTTTTTCCCTCTAAATGAGATAATTAATCCATGTATTTTTAACATGTTTGATTCTAGCTGATTTTTCCCTATTTAAAGTTCTCCAAATAAATTCAGGCACCATGCAGATGCAGGCTCAATGGTCGCGAGCCTACTCGGGTGAGTGTTTTTCAATCATGTCCAAGCTAACAAACATTTGCTGAATCGGATCGGAGATGGATGTGCGACTTCATCCAGTCTGGTAGCAATTAGCTGCCAATTCAGTCAGAGCTTTTTCCTTTCAGTGAGATAACTAATTCACGTTGTAACAAGTTATGCCCAATTCTAGCAAATTATGCCCAGTTTACAGGAAGAAAACTCAGGAACCATCCAAGTAAAATGGCAGTACCTGGGAACCAACTCAGATGTATGTTTTGAAATCGTGTTTAAGCTACCACACATTTGCTAAACATGTACTCCCTCCGTCCGGAAATAGTTGTCATCAAAATGAACAAAAGGAGATGTATCTAGACATATTTTAGTTTTAGATACGTCCCTTTTTATCCATTTTGATGACAAGTATTTTCGGACAGAGGGAGTATGTTAAACTAATATGCTGGTTGGATATGAGAACACCCTGCTGTGGGATGTTAAATTACAACATACAGGTGTTTTAAGATTGTAAGATTTAACATGTATGAGCTCAGAACTGCTCATATAAAATAATAATTGAACATGTGTTATTGAGCTCGATGCTAAATTGCTCATGTGCTCACTTGGGAAATTAAGGTATGTGCATATGCACATACATTAATACAGAATTGCAATTCTTCAAGATGTAGATGATATCTAGTAAACTGGTAAGAAATCGGTAGACTACCACATTACCTGTCTCATCCTGTCTTCTAATTTAACACTACCATCAATTCTGCAAATATTCAGGCCTTTCATATACAAATAATATTCTATTATGTCCAAAACTTTTGTCCACTGTGAAAATATTAGAACCTACAAACATATTAACTGAATTAGGATATAATTCATGAAAAATGTGCTAGCATGTGCATGAATGCAGAGTAAAGCTAAGGCACAAAGAAATGTAAAGGAGAACCATAAACCTTGTGCCTTCGTTTGAGTAGGGACTCCAGTAACCTGTCAAACAGCTGAAATTTACCACATTGTTCCAGAAGCTTATCGGTAGGTGGATAAAGGCCTGCAGACAAACAAATGAACAACAATGTAGAAAAAATTAGCAAACAGAAACATAGAGTGTAACACAAATAGGACACGTTCAATTGGATTATGGGACACACTTGTTGAGTCAAATGCAGCATTGAAAAGATCAGGATGGGCACAGTTCTTCCTCAGCTGAATCATTAGGTTATTTAGCTTCATCTTCATGCCAGGTCTCCGCAACACTACAATATAGAAAAAACTTGTCATATAAGAATTAATTGTTTACTTGTACACACAATGGACTGTGAGTGTGCAGGAAAAGATGGACGAGCTTACATATGCATACCTATGTCTGTGCTCTCAAACAAGTAGTTGTCAAATGTCTTTTCAATCAAGTGAGTCTGGATTTGCTTCTGATGCGCAGTCATGTTAGCATAAATGATTATCTCTTTCTTCCGTGGAAGCATCTGTTCCACATCCACCTTCATCCGTCTTAAAAGGAATGGGCGCAAAATGGCATGAAGCTTTGAAACAACAAGGACTCTTTTCTTCTCATCAGCTTCTTCCTGCTGTTCCTCATCTCCTTTCCCAGAAAAATCAAACCTTTAAGAAGATATTTGTCAGATGAAAGGAGGCAAAATAAACCAAATATATTCATTGAATGTTTAAATAGTACTCCCTATGTTCCATAATTATTGTCGTGGTTTTAGTTCAATTTGAACTAAAACCACGACACAAATTATGGAACGGAGGGAGTAACTCCACTATCTTTATAACGAAAACTCCCAATGTGAAGGTATTAAAATCCATATACTTACTTCCAATATTACTTACTCATAGCATGCATTTTAGATAATAACATAACAAGTTTAATAATAGACACTATAATAAATCAGAAAAGGTACAACATAAAATTCTGCTAATGTTTATTAAATTGGCAGACATGTCATATCAGTACACAACATATACTGAGAGGAGGAAATGTTATAACATAAGCGGCTGACAAACAGGGAGGTGGCTATTCTGGCGCTTGAAGACATCTACCAGAGAGTCCTGGTGGTGCCCCCTGTGGCAAATAGTAGTTCCCCATTTTGGGAGTCTATCAATGTGGGTTGTAATTGTTCTGCCATATACCCATACAACAGGGTATCATTGTAACTACACGTTTCTATATTATTGTTAATGCAGTGGAATTGCTACAATTATACCAGATAATTGCATTGGATAGTGGAATTGCTACAATTATACCAGACAATTCATGCTTGGGAACTGATGTTGCGACTGTCTAATTTTTTCTTTTATACGATTCACAACTGATCAAATTTGATAGATTTTACTGCATTGTTTAACCAAAATATACACTTAAATGCCAAATGTTGGTCACTTTATAGTAAATCCTGAAAAATGTTGGCTAAAAGAACAACATATATGTGCTATTAGATTCATACACAAATTGATATCACAACATCTAGGCATCTAGCCAATGGCAGAGTCAAACATTTCAAAGCTAGACACAGTTACATTGGAATGTTCAGGTCGCTTATATTTACTCATTTATATCATCATTACAAGAAAAAAATAAGGCCAGGGGATAGCAACTGATGAACACAGGAACTGCTGCCAGGATATGGAGACTAAAACAAAATGGCATATACAGAAAATACCCAAGGTTTCCACTCAAAAATAAATAAATTAGTACCCATAGTAAAGGGCAGCCAGTAGTGCATGTGTAAGTTAAGCGAATCATACCATGACTCAAATTCCTGATGGGACGAGAATATATCAGGCAAAATGAAATTCAATAACGACCACAATTCTGCCAGGTTATTCTGAAGAGGTGTCCCAGTCAAAAGAAGTTTATTGGCCATTGGTATGCGCTTTAACTTTCTCAATAATTTACATTTAGAATTTTTCAACCGATGTCCCTGCAAAAAGTATGGAGGCATGTTAATAAGGAATAGAGAAAGGTAGAGAACCATAAATGGCTCCATCATGTAGATTTTTTTTCTCAATAGCATGTGCTTTTATCACCTCATCCACAACAACATATTTCCACTTATAACGAGCAAGAAATTTTGCATCTGACATGGCCATCTCATATGAAGTAATTATTATTGGGAAATCGGGGCCAACAGTTTTGGGCCTGAATTTTCTCCTTATCTCTGCCCGAGCCACTTTATCTCCATGGTAAATCAGGCCAGTAAGAGATGGAACAAACCTAAATCAAGTATATTCACATAAGATAGCACTTACAAAAACTGAAAATAAAATTTGGATACCTTACCTTGAGATTTCATTCACCCAATTTGAGAGAGTGGAAAGAGGAGCAATTATCATGTATGGACCATGCATACCATTCCCTTTAAGATGGGTAAGAAATCCAATTGTCTGGATTGTTTTCCCAAGGCCCATTTGATCAGCTAGTATCCCATTCAGCCCATTCTGCCACAGTGATATTAGCCACTTCACACCCTTTATCTGGTAAGATTTCAACTGCCCGCCAGTCATTAATGGTACAAGGTTGGCTTGCTCTTTTTCCCATCTTTCTTCTTCTGTGAGAGCGTCATCATAAGCAGAACGATCTTCACGAGATCTTGTGAGCATGGCAGCCACTGCTGTCTTAGCCTTCTTCTGAACAACATTTTACTTTATTGGTACTTAGAAGTAGCAAGATGTTGTCAACACACAATTATGATAAATAAATGACAACTATTTCTCATACTTTCTCATATATTCAGATCCCTTTATTGATATATCACGTCATCCACTTTAGAATGATGACCAGTCCCCACTTAAATACTGAATATAAATGTTCACCATTATGGACCTATTAGATTCAGATGACAATCAACAAGTCCAAACAATTCAAAGTAACACTGGTCACGGAATGTTGGAATGCCTTAATTCTTACCTATGAAGGCAGCTGAACCTGTATTACAGCAAATTTAAAATGGCACTTAAATTGAGATTTGTGAACTAGTATGTTGTAACTTGAAAGGATGCTGCTACTAGAAAAGGCAATCAGGAATTTTGGGAAGTTAACATTAAGCAATCAGGACAACACGCTCTACAGTTTTCTTCAAGCGGCAATATATGTCTTAATCCTAAGTCCATTGAGAAAGTAAAAGACTACACATAATACTGCAAATAAGCAAAAGTACATGGCAAACAATGAAACAAAACATCTCCATAATTTAGAAGACAGCCAAAGATTACCAACGAGCATATTTACATAACAGATGATAATATATGATGTATGCACTCACATCATTGTATTGTGGCTTAGAATTTACTTTCCTCTTTCTGCCACATCCTTTCTTCTTGTCTTCCACAGACTCCTCTTCATCTTTAACTTCAACAAAATTCTGCTTACCCAACAGGTAACAGCATCATCATCAAAAAATAAATAAATAAACTAGCAATAAATACGAAGATAAGAAAAAGGTCACCACAGTGTGGGGCTCATACATCTGTAAATTGCTCCATTTTTTCAAGTAGAAATTCTGAATAAAGCTGTGTCTCTGTCAGCAGCTCATCCAACTTGCTAAAACATGCATTAGGATCTAAAGCAAGTCTTGCCGCTTGTTCTCTTTTTCTAGCCTCTTCTTCCTCTACCTTAAGCCGAGCCTCATATAGCTGCTGTTCCTCCTTCGTCATCACCTCTGTAATGAAGGATGCATCATCGTTCTTGGCCTCAAGGTCAATAGGTACAGATGAATTTACATCCAAGAACTCATCGGATGTCTCCTCATTGGTGGAGTGCAATGGCTGCTCTTCAGCCTTCATCGCCTTGACAATGGGGTGTACCAGTACCCCAACGCAGCTGGCCTCAAGCTTAACAGGCAGAGACGTACTTGCATCAACAAAATCACTGGCTTTCTCATTCTCGGCTTCGAACATTTTCTAATTTTGCACAAAATAATCAGATCAGACTTAAGATTTGAAACTGTTGGAGAACCTCGACACAAAAAAAAATACAAATATTGCCGCAACAAAAGCATACCCCATCTAGACTGACGCGGATCTAGATGATGTGCTGGGCATGCACCCACACACCAAGAAGTTGTGGAGGTTAGCGGGGTTTAACAAATCACTGGATAAAAACAAGCTCATACTCTACGTTGTACTTACAAAGTTACAGTTGTCATTGTTGCTGTTTTACTATTCACACATTTTAAATTATGTAGCAAAATGTTGCAGTAATTAATTATCCGATTTGATTTTTTGCATCAATAATAAAAGAACCAAATAATATACAATATCAGCAAGAGTATGAACTTCATGAAAAAGATAGATCATTCAAAAAGCGCTCATACATGGTTCAGCTTCACATATTTCAAACAGAATCTGTAGCCAAAATATGTAATATTGCACAGCATATGAATAAGTTTAACCTCTGGGAAAATATTGCACATCAAACCAGCTGCAAACATCACATCATACTCAAAGTGCTACAGCAACTTTAGGCAGATACTACTGCAATGCGATGTAGTAATACTAGTATTAGTTTGAGAAGAGACTAGTAATTTCCTAGACCTGATGCTTTGGAAAAAACTCGTAATTGCAACTATGCAGACATGATGCTTTTAAAACTATGGTGTACTAGTAGACAGTCTGCAGACTTGTTTTTGTGGCACATCTGAGCCTTGTTTTAGAGTACCTGAACCTTTAATGCCTAATTTGTATTGCAGCCTGATGCTTGCTAATCTGTCATGGGATTTCACGTCAGCTCGCAAATTCATACATTGTACACCTGACATGCAACTTTTGTGTGTCTATTGCAAAGTACCACTTGCCAAAATGCATAATCTGTAGGAGTAGGCAAATGTGTAAATTCCCGTAGAAAAATACTACTCCCTCCGTCCCATAATATAAGAACGTTTTTCAAGTTAACATAGCTTGAAAAACATTCTTGTATTATGGGACGGAGGGAGTAGCAAACAGACTACTGCCTAGAAAAGAAAAAGAATAGGAGGATTTACTAACAAAGAAGAGACACCAAAAATGAAAAAAAAAATACATGGACAGTAGTACACATAGAAGAAAGCATGACAAAGAAATTGATCTTTCGGTGCACATTGTTACCTCAGCATTGGTCTGGTTTGCTACCCCAACTTTGTCTACTTCTCCAAAATGACCTGAAATAGGCACGGTAGAATCAGATTTTGTGCAGGCAACAGGGGGATTCGGGTTTAAGAGGTTGATATATATCTAGGGTTTCATGAGAACAAGCAACTGGGAGAAGAGTCGCCATGGGAAGACTAGGAGAGTCGCCATGGGAGGGGTGGGAGAGGCACCGGGGAGGGGGTGAGGCGGAGAGGCGACGTGCGAGGATAGGAGAGGAGCAACGGGGCAGGGGAGGAGAAGAGCAGCAGGGGAGGGGAGGACAGTAGTAGTTGGTGTGGGGCAAGGCGTTGCACATGGGGAAGGAGCGGGGAGGAAGAACGGGGTGATGGAGCTCACCTGCGTCGCCGTTGCCGTCATGAATCGCCGTCGCCATCGCCGTCGAGGCCGCCTCCTGCCCCTGCTCTCCTCTCCGTTCGGTGGAAGCAAAGGGGAACGCGGGAGCAGGCAAGTAACCATTTCCAGTTCAGAGCTCCGCTTGATCCTAGGAATTTTAAACATTTGGATCGTAAGGATCCTTTTACTGTTTATAAGACCCCTTTTTTTGACGTCGTAGGATTAGAGTAACATTTTGTAACAAAACTTAAACCTATTTTTTAACCTTTCCTTTCAGTTTCATAGGTAAACATCATATTTTGATACAGAGGTAGTATCTAATCTCTCCTAAATAATTTAAACTTTTGTGTTTATTTTCCGTGTACTATTGAGAAGCACTTCTTACAATACACTTCATTGCACAACTTGATTTTAGTCACATAGATATTACCTTGACTATTTTCTCGAGCCACAATCAAAGAGCCTTTGGTGAGCTTTCATTTTCTTTCACCGAAATAACTATGATATTTGATATCATCAAGTTTGCCTACTGACAATAAATCAGCCTTATGTCGAAAACAATGCCTCACATCATCGATCACCAATCTGCAACCTGTATTTGTTTCAATGCATATAGAGCCCTTGCGAACAATTGTTGACCAACCAATATTTCTCATCCTCACTTGGCTAGTGATATCACTAGTGTAAGATGTGAAATACTTTTTATGTGATGTGATGTGGAAGGACGCACCTAATCCACAACCCAACCCATGGCATCATCACGAACATCACTGTAGCATTCATCATCTTCGATGGCTAGATAGTTCTCATATGTTGCAGTCATGGTTGAACTGCTCTGAGCCTTTTGCCCGGTTTTCTTTGCAAGCTTCCACTCTGCAAACTCTCTTTTGTACTTTCTGCACTCGCTCTTTATGTGTCCCGTATTTTCACAATAAAAGCAAGTAATATCTTTTCTCTGTTTTCACTTTGATCTTCCCCTAGATTTGCTTCTGCCTTGTCGAAATCTTGTGTGACCACGTCCATTCTCATTCTTCCCATGGGTTTCGGCCACATATGCATCAGAAGAAGAGGCGTCACTCTTTTCCTTCTTTCTGGCTTCTTCATTCAGCATGTTCTTCTTCACCATCTCCAAGGTCAGTTTCCCATCCGAAGCTGAATTGCTAAGTGACACAACAAGCGTATTCCAACTATCAGGCATGGAACTCAGTAGCAATAATGCTTGCACCTCATCCTCAAAGTTGATCTTCATGGCTGAAAGTTGATTTATATGGTATTGAATGACATTCAAGTGCTCAATCACACTTGTGCCATCTCGGTTCATTGATGTCTTCCTCTCATACATGGACTCCAACTTCTGCCACATCTCATACTCATTTGTGTCATTTGTAACATGGTGGAAAATATTGTGGTTGATGTACAACCGAACCATACCTACTACCTTTCTATGCAACAACCTCCATTCTTCTTTCGTGACACATGTGGGTATCTTGTCTTTCACAATTGGCTCATACAAATCCTTGCAATAAAGGATGTCTTCCATCATGGGCTTCCATAATGAGTAATTTGAAGAGTCGAGTTTTATCATGCCACTTGTAGTAGCGTTTTCTTCCAAAGTCATTGTGAGCATCACTTCCAGCAACAATCAAGCAACTGGGATTAGCAACCTCTAAGCAACCAAGGCTTTGATGCCACTATGTTGGGAATTAGCACACAAATGCATTTGTGGTTAACTACAAACTACAACGAAAACAAAGTAATCTCAGCACCAGATCATGTACTAACTCAATGATCGTTGCTTAGGACAGAAGGAAACATATGCAACAACATATATGGAGGTAAAATGTTAGTCAGCAGACAATACGCTCCCCAATGAGTGTCTTATGGTAAGAGTAACTTTCTGGACAGCAACAAACATCAACAAAGAGACACCAGTTTTTTGGGAAACCACTCAACTTAAGGGGAAAAATCATGGGCTGAAGCCACCCAAATCCTCTTCCACTATTATCATATGTGGGATACAAACAAGTTCTTCTCTAGATAGCACTAGAGGATCTCATAATCAAGATTTCTGAATCTTGAATGAACGCAACAAGATTTGGGCTCAACAACTAGGGATTGGAACAATCTCACCAAAAATAGTGGAACTGGAGCTTGAAGGAGACAAGATAGTGGATCTGGACCATCACAACCTTGGAGAGGAGCTCCCTTTGCTTCTTCATCCAATCTTCCTCTTATTCCCTTTCTCTTTTGGTTTTCTCTCTTCTTCTCCCTTGGAGGATGAACTGATTTTCATCATGCTTGGTGGTGGCTGCTGGATTGAGGGTAAAGCATTCTCATCATCTCTCATCATCTCACGTGCAAAGTCCAAAATGACCCTAGGTCATAACCCTAATGGGTAGTGGGCTTCTGCACCTCTTTGGGCTACTTAAAAGGCTTCAAATGGTCATATCCTCACAACCCACATGAGGAGGATATCCCAACATGGTGTACATATAGGGTGTGTTTGGTTTCTATCACGAAGTGGAACGGCACCGGTCGGTTCCATCCCTGGGGCTCATTCCTGTTTAGATTGTCCAAGGACCAGAACACACCGATTCCTTGGAACGGCATATTCTCTCTTTATGCGGAACCGAGTCGTCTCTCCTAATCGAGCGGACAACATGGAACGGCTCCCTGAGCGCCCCGCTTATCTCTCTCTCGTGTCTCTCTCACATCTGGCAGGCACAGGGAGGCCACCGGAAGGAGGCGAGCGACAACGGATCGGTACCAAGCCGTGCTCCCAGCCTCGTCGCCGACACAATTGCCACTGACGGTGGCGGTGACGACCGGATCGTGGTCGTCCCCTTCCCTTCCCTTCCCGTCAGATCCATCAAGGTCCAGCGACCGCGAAGGCCATCTCCGGTAGCTGTGGATCCTCTCTCTACCGCTCATCTACCCTCACAGTCACATTCATGGCGTTGCTGCTTTCCTTGCCGGCGGCAGCCCCGCGTGTGTCGTGCGTGTGTGCTGCTCCTGGCTGGCCTTTGCGTGCGTCCTGCAATTGGTGCTCATGGCCTGCAACTACTACTATTGTTGTTGTGTGTCGTGCTTCTCCTGCTGTCTTCCCACCGAATTTGATGTTTTATGTGCAGATGACAGAAAATTGATGAAATTCCAGGGCTAATTGTTGCTAATGGCTGACAGGCAAATATGTATCACCTGTTTTGGGTATATACCATCACTTGCAATTGAAAGAATTGTTGTGTTGATGATTTCCTTTTACCTCTATATATGCGTCTTGTTTGTGTTTGATGTCAAAGTTATATTGTACATAATCACAAGAAGACAACAGGAGATATGAAGAAATCCATTCCGTTCCGATCTCTAAAACCAAACACCGAATGTAACCGTTCCATTCCTTCGAATTGTCTCTACCAAACACAAGGACGAAACCAACCCATTCTAGTGGAATGAAACCATGACATTCTATTCCACTTCGTTCCCAAACCAAACACACCTATATATTGTACATTGGTATAAACATGCAAGCAACAACCTAACGATGTGCCCCATGTGGTGTTGGGTTAATCAGTAGTTCATGATCGTGCTCATGCCTTTGTAAATCAATTTGACTGCAATCAATGGATTGAAAGGCAATGGTTATCATAGAACAAAACTGTGTGAATGCCTTTGCATATTTTTTAAAAGGGACGCTTTATTACTTAAAAGGTTTAAGAATTACACTCAGCATGTGCATAACTAAGATGAACACAGCCAAACAAGGTCCTCTCACACAAACAAAAAATAAAAAGGCAAATACAAAGAAACATGTAGAGTCCGTATAACACCTAAAGCGGAGGGGCGGGGGGGGGGGCAATTCTAAATGCTGCCACCCATGTTGGGTAAAAGTATCCCTAGCCGTAGCCTCCAATCGTGTACACACCTCCGTAAACAGGTTATGATTCTCCACGCATTGTAGGGAGGGCCATAAACAAAAAGTCCTAATACATCTGTAGATAACCTACAACAGATACTTTTATCGTTAAAAACCTTATCATTTCTATGACGCCAAAGCGATCAAATAACGACAAGTGCTCCCACCCTTAGAAGAATTCTAAACATGTGATCAATTTCATGTAACAAGTTGCCAAATACATTAGCAACACTAGCAGAAGGATATAAGCCAGAAGCTATTTGGATGACCGACCATATAAAATGAGCCAATTTGCATTGGAAAAATAAATGTTATATTGTCTCATCATGGTGACAGAAAATCACATTGCAAACATACCATGCCAATTCCTCTTAATAAGGCTATCTTTAGTAAGGATGATTCCGCACGAAGATACCATGCAAAGATTTTATTCTTAAGGGGTATCTTCATCTTTCAGATCTTCTTGTTATTATGAATTGACACATTAGACTAGATTTATGCTCTATATATATACTCCACTGAGAATTGTCCATTCTTATGGAGATTCCATTGGAATGCCTTTGCATGATAGTGCCATCTCATCTGGTAATGAAGAACAAGTGGACCAAAATTGATGGCCTATTGTAGTAAGGTAGTGATGCTCCCACTGGTACATGAAGCCCTACCAAAGATCACTTACATAAGAGCATCTCCAGCCGCACCCCTAACATGCCCCCAAGACCCTTTTTCGTCGCCGGTGGAGAAAATTCGGCCCAGTCGCGTCCCCGGAAGCCTACTTCTCGCGGTTAGGGCCGATTTTGGCGCCAGCGGATCCAGGCCGAACGCGACACGCTGGGGGCGCCCGGGGGCACCGGGGGAACGTTTTTTGGTGCGAAAAGGAGTGGGCCCGCCGAGTCAGTGACTCGCTGCCTTTGTCGTCCTCATCGCCTCGGTTCCCGCGGGAATCAATGCCAAAGTTGCCGCGCCGACATGCCGGTCAACCTTCCATTGATGCCTCATGGGCAGCGCAGTGAAGGCGCGGCGACGCGCGTCTCGCCCGCTCCTGCCACACGACACACGACGGCAGCTCTCCCACTGCCCATCAGCGGCTATAAAAGTCGTCTTCCCTCGCCGTGAACGCACAAGCT